TAAAACTGAATTCATTTCAGATACACAAATTAGTTTGTTTATAAATACCTCTACCTTTTTCGAGATTTTCTAAAATATATTGAAACTCGAACAGCTGTAAAACTTGAATACCTCCTTTACATTCAAGGTACGTTTTATACATTTTGATTATTTCCGAAAGAATAATTACTAGCAGTATGTAATTTTTTTTATCTTTCAACTCTTACGACTTAAAAGTGAAAAGAAACTGGCATTTCAAAAATTTAGCTGCTCGAACAATAAAAATAATAGTTTCATACGATGTATCAATATATGTAATAATTTCGAAGCACAGTCACGATGGCTGAGTGGTAGGGCGAGAGGAAGAAGTTGATACTAAACTAAGTTAAGCTTTATTTCCAGATTTCCAGGTACAACTAGAATAATTAATTCCTCGTAGACAACATACTCTTTAATCATACACTTAGGATAACTTCTTATACACATTAGTGTTTTACAAAGAATAGCGCAGGCAGTTTAAAGTAGCGAAGCGGGAAGATATTAGATATGTAAAAGCTAGCAGAATAATGACGTAATTCGATCGCCCTACGTATTTTTACCAAAGTAGGTGCGATTCTAGAAACAAGGTATGATTGGTTAATATTAGTTTCAGTTGCCCTTTTCCACTAGCATTACATAACATAGAAAGATCTAGAATTTGGGAGAACAGATGAATTTAGGGGGAGAGCACCAAATCTAGAATCGTTAATTTTGAGCAGCTATCGTATTTTGTAATATCTTACATACATTTACAAAACGTACAAAATTTTACTTCCTAGAACATTCATTCATCAAGGCCATAAAGTGCTTTAAAGGAAAAGCTACTCACTTTTCTATTTTAGTTTCTTTTTTTCCTCATTGCGGTAAATGATAATCACAAATACAACAGCCATCATGCAAATTTCTGTTGCATTTTCCATAGCTTTCAGCACTGTAAAATAAATTTGTCTTTTTCTGATGCAATTGCTAACGTGATGAACGCATTTCTCACTGGGAACCAAGGTTAGCAGTCTAGGGCAATCATCAATTCGATAGATGTACATGATTAGTTGAAGCATGGAAATAATATTTATGCAGATGCATGTTATTACTTGAACAATGAAAATACAATACGTAAGTAATTTATAGAATGCATACTTACGTGAAAAATCTGATTAATTCCTTTAATCTTCAAATTCTAGGCACTGCAGAACATATTTTGCAACTTCAAAACTATTAATTTCAAATAAATTAAACAGGCCTTTACATCAGAAATGGTAGCACAAATCACTGTCGTTAAATTAAAGCTCTATATTACTCTTCTACATTTGCCATACGGCATGGAAAAAAACAATCATCATTTAGAATGCTCAAACAAAGCTGCACATGAAGTTCCATTCAAAAGTTGATAATATGAAGGACATTCGAATATGCACAATAATTATACTTTCCACATTAAATGAGACAGCCATAAATTACTTGAAATACTAGAATTTAATTACAAAATAAAAATTATTTTACTAATTAGCTATTCGTCAAACAGCAGCTCTCTAAAATACAACCCAACCTTTATAAGACAGATCTTATTTCCTGTAACACATTATTCAGCAGCGCAGAGGACTTACTTACGACAAAGTTGAGGGAAATGCCATTTTCTTTCAGGCTTCGCAGTGCCATTAATGACAAAAGCAACAGAAAAGAAAATTCCACAGTTACGTACACCGCGTTTTCATTAATCACCAGAAATGCATTACAAGAAAGCCAACAAAACTGACACGTATTCTAATACTGCATCAATTCCTTTTTATTTAACTGCATGTAGAAAACATCACAAGAAACTGTATCCTATACTGAAATATCGGCATGCGCGACAATATGTGATTAAAAAGGCTGATAGCAAAGCAAATACAGTTATTCGGCCAAAGTAGCTATGCCCTGAAAAAGCATAAGAGGTTACGCTCTATTTACAGCTTTGAAAGAACAGCTATCTCATCGTTAAGCCCCTATGGGTCACCTTTCTTTCTACTTCTATTTCACATTCCCAAACAAAAGTTTCTCAATTATTTCGGATCAGGTCGTCAGGGATCCCTAGATCTACCCGTGGCCACCTCTCCCCACAAGTCTTTTTTGAGAAGGTGAAATCATTACGAAAATAAAAGGCTCTGGAACATAACAACAGATTCCACTGTACTCACGACAACTGTTACTTTGAATGTGGTATTCGTGAAAGTCTCTGAGTTGCTAAATATGATTATTATGGTTATGAAATATAAATCTGAATGCAACTTTTAGTGATGACACAATGAGCTAAACGGTTCTCTACAAACGCTGTTTGTTTCGGTTACTGTTGATAAAGATTTTTCCAAATTTTTTACTGTTTGGTTTAATGAAACAAAATTGAGGATTTTTTTTTACCTGAACTGACACTGACAAGCATCACAGAAATTCTTTAACGGATAAATAAGTTTACATATAAGAGTGAATATGAAAGTCTGAATGCATGTTTTCACTAATCGGTCAGGACAACAAATGATAGTGCTAAAAGGTTAAGTGTTACAACCTAATTCCAAAACTACGCTTTTATTTAGAAACTGTGCTTTCACACGTTTTGTTCTTCTTCCGAAGTCTTGTCTCATATTACAAGGGGATAAGTATGAATGCTATATTAGAGCATTGCGTTGGACTCCCTCTGCTCTATCTAGGTGATCGCTTACGAGGGAAAAGTCATCATCATATCATTTGCATTTCCTCTTCAGTCACAACAGTACTTTCACCGTATCTATCATATGCTTCTTTTGAACCACTAAAGCTATTACCATTTGGATCCTGTGTTATTGGATCTATCTGCTTAGTAAATAATTTTCTAAATCTAAATGAATAAGAAATAGGTATTTACTTTTCTTAGTCGTTAAAACATTTTCAGCTGGGTTACATTAAAATGACAAAGCATATTTTTGTTACACAAAGCAATTTTTGTATCAACACCTAGGCTGTTTCTAAGTAGGCTTTTTCCGATTTCTGTTATTCTGCTCTGTTTGAAACTGCCATTACTGACACATGAAGACACTGTATTCACATGCAACGTACTTGTTTATCTATTTGTTTAAATACGCAAACACGCAAGACCTACCTTGTCTATCGGTAGGGATGCCTTTGTCGAGCATTTTTATATGAAAACTGGCTCGTATTTTATGTTACAAAGGGAAACCCCATGCAGCCTGTGCGTTCGTCAGGATTCAAACTGAAGTCGAGATTACAGAGCTTAGCATCTTACCTACTTCACCACTGGCACATTGCTAATAGCTCTTATGACTTCAAAATATTTTAATAGGGATACACATTACATTAGCTGTAAATATTTAACTCTTAGCAAATTAGACATAGAATATCACACTGACAATAAAAATGCACAAATTAAGACATTAAAATTCTTACCTGCGAAAATTCTTAACAGATGCCGAAAGTCAGGCCGAAGAGTATTATTTTAAAATTGCTTCTTTTTTTTGGTAGTCAAATTATTGATCATTGGTAACACTTTTCTCATACCAGAGATGATTCCTGGAAGTCCTGTTATGATGTTAATCTTGCAGGTGTCAACAGTCGAGGTGGTAGGCCGCGGGCTCTCCGCGCGCTACTTCAGGTACCTGACTATCATACGGCGCAGTCACAAGCACCTGATGCAGCACGTGGGAGCCACTGGGCATTGCACACTTCCTTCAATGACGATACTCACACGGACAGCAGACATCACGTGGTAGGCTAATTTTCAAAGACAATCCACCAATCTCTCGGAAGTTCTGCAGATGGTCAGTTAGAATACACACACATTATCAATTCCCTTTTTCTCCAGCTTCTGACCCAGACAACATAGGAATGGAATAGTATCACTATCTTATATGACGCAATCGAAAAGGGGGTGACATCAAATATTCCATTTTAAATTTTGATAGCATTACCGAAATATCTTACTTAATCTTATCTTATCTTACTTAATCTTATCTTATCTTACTTAATAATAAACCTTAGTACATGAACTAAAAATGACTTTTGTGAATGAAAAATAAAATGACTACGTCTATTTGGAAAATTATACGAAGATTTTCTTCGTATTAGCAGTAAATCCATTGAATTAGTTACATACTTTTATACTGTACTCTAATTTTAGCAGTATACAGTTCATTGATCAACGTTTGACTTCATATTTAACAGTATTAACACAATACGTATCAAAAGCAATGGCCTCGAGATGAATTTAGATGAGAATTTGTGTAATTTTTAATATCAAAAATGCAAAGAACATTTAAAACAAAGGAGTAAAATGCAATTCTTTCTTTCCAAATCAAACAAAACACAATGTCTTCACATATGAGAAAGCTAAAAGTTTTAAAAAATACTACCTAGTTTTCTGAAACGTGGTCATATTACTCTGAATTAGATATTATTCAGAATATGTCATCAGTATGACTCAGCGCGCTGATATGAATAACAGTACTAAATAAATAAATTCAACCCAAAAAAAACAAGGCCTCTTAATGATAGAATTAAAATCGCTTAAAATTGTACATAAATATTCCAACAATAATAAATGAATGGAACGTGTAGTAAAGAATATTTGTTAAAGCAATACGTCAACGGTTAAGTAAATGAATAGAGATATGTAGAAAACATGCTTTTCACGATACGATTTTTCATTAATAAATTCATCTTTTGATAACAGATAAGTGTACCTTTGCCATGAAATACTTAGAAATCTGGAAAATAGAAGTGACTTACTCATTTTCAATTTTGCTTGTTCTTTTAATACCGTCAAACGATTTTTAAAAAAATTATTTTAAACAACAGCGGAAAATGTTTCATTTTTTAAAACTTAAAAACAATCCACAAACATACCAATACTAAGCATTACATTAAAATAATATTTTCAAAGTATAATAATTTCAAAGATGCTAAAATTACTGTATCGATAAATTTTAACTGCTAGGTGACAAGTAATTCAATGAAAATTTAATGAGTTACTGTTTTACATTTGCAGCAATTAAGCCTCTAAAATGCTTTTAATAAGAAGGTTTTAAGAGGAAAGTATCACTACAAATATTTTCTTCCATACCTTACAGGAAACATGCAATGTAGCTTCATTAGTCTGAAATCTATATCCAATATGTGAGAAATTAGGTCTTTTTACATGACAAGTTTTGATATTTACCAAAGCTTTGGATTCACAAGTTTGGTTCAAATTTTCTGACACTAATCGCATCACAACATTTCTCATAGTGAAAGAAATCTGAAAATACAAAAGAAAAAAATTAGTTTCAGCAATGTTTAATATAAAAAACATATTTTCAACACAGTGTCGGAGTAAATTATTCCTCCATTTAATCAATATATTCTTTCAGAAAATACACTTAACAGAAAATAGCTGTGGAGTCATTAGGTTAATTGGAAGCAGAAAAGATAAAAAATATGCTACCGCCTTCGCCGGGAATCGAACCACGGGACCTCTGGAATACCGGCCCAGAGTGCTACCGTTCCACCACGAAGGCATGCTAGGGAAGTGGGAGAAATACCTTATATACTCCCTTTTTTAAAGGGCGACTAGGGTTTTAGGGGACCTAGTCGCCAAATCCTGGGTGCGGAGAATTATCATCCACAACCCTTTTAAGTCGGGCGCTACTTGTACAGTCATTAGGTTAACTGGAAGCAGAAAAGACGAAATAGCAAACCGCCTTCGCCGGGAATCGAACCATGGACCTCTGGAATACCGGCCCAGCGTGCTACCGTTACACCACAAAGGCACGCTAAGGAAGTGGGAGAAATACCTTAGCAAGTGAACATTTTCATAGAAATTTTTAAAAAAAGTGGTGTTCACGCTAATATTTAATATATGATGAACCTTCTAAGTAGTTGTGTTTTGCAGCTGAAACCTGTGGATGTCTGATTTTCTAGGGCTGCGACCTATTGCCACTGGCAAACAAGACGAGACGGTCAGCATAAAGAAGAACCAGACATGTTTAGAATCAAAATTCCCATGTTTAGAAAGAAGAACTCAATTTTCAAGTCTGTGATAACAGGTTTTGTTCAAAATTAACGGCTCGCAGTTTTTAACAGATAATTTTTCTCATACGATTACATGTAATAATCAAGTAACTGATAATAAGAACAGCATATTTAATGAAAATTACTTAGTTTAACATATATTCAACATAACGAAAGGCAACCATCAACCTCGGACCCATCCCATAAAGATGCTTTATATAGTCTGCAAAACATTTTTTAATGTATCCATTGAACAAATGGTGTTCACAGGTTTGCTTTGCAGATGTCATATACACAATATTGGCCATAAATTATTATACAAGATAACCGAACAAATAATTTATTTAGTATTTACTTCCGGAAACTGAACAGGTTGATTGCAGAGATTTTATTTCCATGCGTAAAACGAATATATATGCCCATTTTTCTCAGAAAGTACTCAACGGAGGCATTCCCTCTTAAATGCTATATTCGGTTAAGGTAAAACTACTGCGCCTTTTGCCATCCAAACGCCTACTAGTGGTCAAGTGGTAAAACCGCTGAATATCGCAATAGTTCGACGCGGTTTAAATATCTAAAAATTAAAATATAAAACAGCAGTAGTTCGGCCCGGTTCGAATCCCGGTGAAACTGGCTGCAGAGGAGTTTTCGTGCTTTTCCTTATGAATAACATGAATCCGAGCTAGTTTCCATTAAAACAACCTCCACCGTGGCTTCCCTTCCCGTACGCAGATAGCTTTCAAGTTCTTTGCGATAACCAAACATCAAGAGTCGTTGTCTTGCTATAACACCATTACGTAACTATACACCACATGAATTAACGCAAAAAACAATAATTATAACTATGTAATCAATTAATCTATGAAATGCACATAGGCAGTTTACTGTGTTATACAAATGATAGAAAGTAATTTCTTGCTGATAACAGAAAATCATAATTGAGTCAGCATAAGCTACAACCAAGCATACAGTTTCATCCGGAAAATGAGTATCTCTTCACTAAAAAATCTATATCCCGATGAGAAAAGTTAACAATCCGAAATTCAACAATTAAAACGTGCTAGAAAAACACGGGCTTTCAATACTGTATTTCAGTTGACGAACTAATTTATCCGCTCATCATCATAACTAGAGTTGGTTGGAAAGCACACTTACCAAATTGAACAATCTTGTAGAGACATTAATTTTTTTGGAAGCAGGAGATGTGAAAAATGAGCAATGCCCTCGCCGGGACTCGAACCACGGACCTTTCGAATACGCGTCGAGAGTGTTGACTGCTACACTACGAAGGCATGCTAAGGCGGGAGAAATACCTCATAATCTTAGGTGATAGGCAGCACTCTGAATAAATAATTTCTTTTTCATTACGTCAAAAAGTAATAAAAACAAACTATTTTTTCACATATAAGTAATATTAAGCAACCACAAAAAAGTGTAAAAAATTATAAACATTCATTTTATGCAACCGCTCACAGTAGTAATGAACATATCCTTGAAGATAAGAGTTCGATTTCTTGTCTTGACACAGTAACGTTTTCCAACAACCCTTCGTATAAAATTTTCTGAATACTCTGAACTGTCGCCCGAAATCAAAATATTTAACAAAAATTCCTGCATTCCACTGGACGACTGTGGGTCACCTTTCCGCCCAGTCACTCTGATACTAGTGGGGAATGAATGCAATAAAGATGTTTTTCTCCCCTTCTCTTGCTGTGGTCAAGTGTATCAGGTCAGTAGCTTTTCAAGTACTCTGCGCTGCACTGCATCTCTCTAGTGTGAAGGTTAAATGATAATATCAATTCCTTAGTTCTTAAATCTTTAAAACGTTAATTCAAAACGTTTTCAAGCTGTAGTCAAGCGTTGAGTGTTTAAAATATAGAAGAATACATTTTCTATATATGTTTCTTGATTTTTGTATATTAAAATATTTCACTTCCTGACCAATTTTTCAATGCTTCAATTACAGCTGAACCCTCGCATTATTGCTCATATTCACTCATATTGTTCATATTATTGGCATTTGAAATAAATATTATCACTGACGTTTGGAAATTCTTATTTAATGAATATTCTGCACTATAAAATGCAATTTACTCAAAATACTCTGAACTTCGATTTTATTTATTATTTATTAATAGAAAGAATATTTTACATTTCACAACCAAAGCGGAGCAAATAAAGTCTTAAAGAAGCATTAATAGGACAAAAGTTTAGTACAGGTAATGAAATACAACAGGCGGCGCCTCAGTGGCTATGTTATGAGAGTTTTCTATCCCAAAGCCTTCCAGGAGTAAAAGTGTTGCTGAAACGCTGACATACCTGCATTGAAAGTGATGAGTTATGCTAAAAATGACTAAGTAATTTCAATACTGGTTGTGCACATTCTAATTGTAAGAGGAAACACTTCGTGATTCTTTCTCGTTTAAGTATTAAAACATTATTTTGCAAATCAAAATCATTCTTTGTTTCTTCACAGCAATAATTCATTCCAAGAACAGTGGATGCTTAATTTTCCTTCGAGAATAAAAGATACCCAGAATAACTACTAGTCTTGAAAATATTTTCCTCATCCATAAGGGTGACGTGACATGTTCTTGTGCTATTGATTATTCTTCCCTATTTTTCATCATTTTCGTTTTTGTGCTTATTTCTTTCATTACAGTGTGGTTTTGTTCCTTTTCCAAACAGTCAAAACACATAACATTATTGTACCAAGGCAAATAATTCAAGAGTACTTAATTTTTACTAAATAATCCAATAATATAAATATAACAATTTCCGCTCTAATTCTTAAGTTACACATTTTGCAGCTTCATTCAGAGTATGATAAAGCGAATTTTGATTTTAACAATACATAATTACCACGAACAAATTCTAATCATAAACCTCCCTAAGTTAATGTTATTTTCTTATGGGGATCTAAAGGATCCATTAAAATCATGAATTTGGTTTTTCAAACTCAAAACTGCCCTTGTTAAGATAAGAACACACATAATGTATACGTGGCGAAGAGTGCATATATATATACATACGCACGTCAGACAATCACAAAGGGATGTATACGTGGCGAAGAACGCATATATATATATATATATATATATATACGCACGTCAGACAAGCACAAGGGGATAGTAAAACAGCTTTTAAGTTTACACCGTGAAAATAACATTCTATCTCAGTTTTATAATAAAATGCTTAGCAGATTTATAAAAAACATGAATATCGTATACCGTATTTAGGTAGAGATGATAAAGAATTCAGAAGTATGCTTAGATTCCGTAACTTTGCTTTCATTATCACACCCTGATCTTCATAAAGACGCAAGCAGATCGTTAAGTTTCCACTTCTGAAAGAAACAGAGAAAATCTTAACAGCTGTTTTTTTATATGACCTCCTTTTACCTTAATAAACTTTTAAAAGTGTTTAATGAGTAATGCTCCTGAAAAAGCGGTCTGAAGGTTTGTTCTCAAAATATTCCATAACTGCTGTTTTCATGCCATTAACATTAAATCATAAAATCTTTTTCCACAAAGGCCAGATTTAAATTTGCAGAACAGCTAATAATCGCTTATAGCTAAATCTGGGCTGTAAGGAGGATCTTTAAACTCGCATTAAATTTGATTTTTGAATTAAGCTGACACGTTGCTGCTTTTGATTTGCTACCAGAAGACGGAATGTCACTTAACGACTCTTTAACAAAAGATCTAAATTTAATTGAATTAATACCTAGATTGCTTCTTGAATTTAGGCAAGGAAAACTGGGGATTATCTCAGATATTAAGAGAGAGTTTTTCTTTAAATATATGTTCAAAGAAACGATCGTGATTTCCTAAGATTCCTGTGGTGGACAAACTCGAAACAAAAGGAGATTTCGCCATTGCAGAGTAATCTTCGGACTAAAATGCAGTCCGTTTCTTTTAGGAGTAGTGATCAACTCTCATTTAGAGACCAATGTGAATCTTCTTTGAAGGAAGTGGCTACAAAATTGAAAAAAATCCTTCTATGTTGACAACTGTGTCACTTCAGTGAATTCGAATGAAGAAGTAGAATATTTTATTGCAAAATCAACTCAGGTAATGGCAAGTGCTAACTTTGACTTAAGAGGGTGGGAATAAACAGAACTCAGTATTGAAAAATCTACAAATGGGCGAGCCATTAAAAGTATGAATATCCATCTTGCAGACACTTCATTGGTGTGAAGATGTTCAGTTAGAAAACGTTTAATGATTGGAATGCTCCTGAAAAATA